AGCCTCGACCTCCTGGGCTCAAGAAATCCTCCCACCGAGGCCAGGCGCAGTGGCTCATGCCTGTAATCCCAGCACTTTGGGAGGCCAAGGCAGGCAGATCAGGTGAGGAGTTTGAGACCATCCAACACAGTGAAACCCCATCTCTACTAAAAATACAAAAATCAGCTTGGCGTGGTGGTGCATGTCTGTAATCCCAGCTACTTGGGGAGGCTGGAGCAGGAGAATCACTTGAACCCGGGAGGCGGAGGTTGCAGTGAGCTGAGATCACGCCATTGCACTCCAGCCTGGGCAACAGGCAAGAGTCTAACAAAAAAAAGAGAGAAGGAAGGAAGGAGGGAGAGAGGGAAAGAAGGAAGGAAGGAAGAAGGAAAGAAGGAAGGACAAAGAAAGGAAGGACAGAGAGAGAGAGAGATGGTGGAGGAGAGGGTCTCCCTGCTGGTCTGGAACTCCAGACCTCAAGCAATTCTCTCACCTCCACCTCCCAAAGTGCTGAGCCTACAGGTGTCAGCGCTGTGCTTGAGCCTGTGGTTAAAATTTAATGAGGGTTTTCACTCTGGAGGTGACCGCCTACTACTTCCTCCCAGGCAGGAGCCAGACATCAAATCTCCTTTTCCGCTGGGAGCTTAGCGGCACTCCCAGCACAGCGTGGCGCCTTCATTAGGAAATCTCTGGGTTTCATCTTTCCCAGCTCCACCTGTGTGCGGAACTTTTCCAAGTGAGAGCTCCTGCCATTGAGCTGATTGGATTGAGTTGATTTAGAACGGCAAACCAAATTAGGCTGCTCATGGCTCCCCCTGGCTCTGGGATAGACACTTGTTAACTGGGCCCCGGTTGCTTTCTGCCAGCTACTTTTTAAAAAGTCAATCCGATGTTGCTTTCTGTTCAGCCACGTGTCCTGAATTAGAGAACTCTTGGCACAGCTCTCCAGCTGCCAGGCTGTCCCTCTGCGCCCTCATCAAGGCTCCCCCACTTCCCAAACCCACTCCTCTGTGCAAGGAGGCCCGTCATCCAACCCAAATCTTCTAAACCGGGTCCCAAAGTGCCACAGGTACAAACAGTGGCGGAATCAGCTCCTGTAAACAGGCAGCCCCCGGCAGTAGGAATTGGTGTTCCAGGGACATCACTGGTTTAATTAATGGACTCTGTGTTGTAATTTATTATCAAACAGCAATTAAACAGATAAAACGGGCATGGAGGAGGCTAATTTCCTGTCTTGAAACACGTGTTTGTCAACAAGATGTAAACGGTTCCTGGCCACTCCAAGTCTCACTCGCTCGGAAATGTCTGTCTCCTTGGTTTTGGCTGGTTACTAATTTGAATTAGACAAACATCCGCTTCTTTTTGGAAGCCTGAGTTTTATTTAAAAATAGAATGTCAAGGCCGGGCGCATTGGCTGACCATGCCTGTAATCCCAGCACTTTGGGAGGCCAAGGCGGATGGATCTCTTCAGGATGGGAGTGCAAGACCAGCCTGGCCAACGTGGTGAAACCCGGTCTCTACTAAAAATACAAAAATTTGCTGTGCGTGGTGGCACTCGCCTGTAGTCCCAGCTATTTGGGGAGGCTGAAGCAGGATAATCGTTTGAACCCAAGAGGCAGAAGTTGCAGTGAGCCTAGATCGCACCACTGCACTCCAGCCTAAGCAGCAGAGCGAGACTCTGTCTCAAAAAAAAAAAAAAAAAAATCAAGGATGCAGTATGTTGGAAGTAGATTCTCAGTGCTGCAAAGAAAAATCAGCCCTGAGACAAAGGATCTTTCAGCAATGCAATTTTTACTTCCTGGACTACAGGAAGGGTACTCTCGCCATCTTGCCATGAGAATACAAAGAACAAAGGAAAACAGACACATTTATCCCTTACGCATTTGGGGTCCTCCTTACTGCTGTGTCTGATCTCCGTTGCCTGGAGCCAGACCTCACAATCTAAACTAAAACCCGATTGGCTAACAACTTAAAACTTTTCTGAACAGGTAACAGGAATGGAGAGCTGGGACATGCCTGTGAGCACGTCCAGCACAGATAGCTTGGTCAAAGTAGAAGGACACAGAATGTACTACGTGCCTGTAAGCATGGCATGTCTCACAGCTACATAGGATGGGGCTTAACAAAGAGTTATTAGCACACTTATGATTTATTCTTTAACAAGAAAGGAAACTTTAAAAAGGAACTTTCCTACATCCCACACAGTGGCAGCCTTAGTGTTGGCCTGAGCCCATTTGTAGTGGAAGTTCTTGACTAAGGAGGCCCACAGACCCCTAGTTCAGCAGGCTGTTGCCCTCCTGCGCCCAGGCCCGGGGTGAGTCCCAGGCTGGAAAACAGGCCACTTGGGCTCCCCTCCACGGAGAGCAGCTTCCTCGGCCAAGCCCTTCTTTCTCACTTCTCCAGCTAGCTAGTCAATCTTCTCCAGCCACAGCTTCTGATTTCTCCAGAAAGGTAAAGGTCCTATCAGAAAGAAACAGGGGACTGAAAGTACTGCCGCCCCCCGGGACCCACTGTAGCATTCTTCTTATCCCTTACCTCCCCCCATGGCTCTGCCTCTGCCCTCTCAGGTCCCTACAGCTGAGCTGCAGCCAGGGTTTGACAGGGCAGCATACAATGGACCACTGTCTGAGCCTCATGTTCCCACCCCTGCCTGGGGACAGCTCTGGACACTCTGGACCAGGGCTGGGCTGAGATACAGAACAAAGATGCTGGAGATAAGACCCATTGTTGGAAACAGATGCTCGGTGCCACAAAGAAAAATCAGCACTGAGACAAAGGATCTCTCAGCAAGCAATTTTTACTTCCTGGACTGCAGGAAGGGTACTCTCACTAGCCATCATGCCACCAGAGTAAAATGAACAAAGGAAAACAGACACATTTATCCCTTACGCATTTGGGGTCGTCCTTA